CTTTGGCAAAATTTGGAAAAATAAGAAAGAAAGGTTTGTTCTTGGGGGTTGGTCCCGGGAAAAAAAATCCCCCTCCTTTTGGGGAAGGGGGGGCAAAGGGTTTAACCCGTAAAGATTGCCAAAAAAAAAGGGTCCCCCCCCCCCCCCCCCCCCCTCCGCACCAGTATTATTTCAAACGGAGATCCCCTCCTCGCCGCTGATCTGAAACTGCCGGTAAGTGGGGTCACCAGACACCCCGTGAGTCACCCCTCACCACCTTCATGAGTTCTTATCTTGCAGCTGCCGCGTTTTGGGGGTCTGTTCTTATCTGTATGCGCGTTGTTGCACCAGAAATGCGGGTTCTTGTTTCTTACCACGCCGGAAATGAGCGCATGTTCTTATGGCCAAGTTCTTAACCTTTGAATTTTTCGAGGATGCATTTCTTAACTGCTAAGTTCTTAAGTACGAACGCCATCTGAATTTAGACTATTCTTTGTTATTGATGGTGGTAGTGATTGGGGAAGAATATCGGTGCGCAATACGGCTGTTGAATACAGCTGTAGCGACGAGACGCGGCCCACGACGTAAGTTTTGTTGAGGTGTTGAAGGAACAGAGGGTAAACTCAATACTCGCGCGCAAGGCTATCCGGGCGGGTTCGCAAATATCATCCCTCCCTGTTGTTCAGGGTGGGTATGTTCTGATCGGGACCGAGAAGTTTGGCGATAGACACCACAGCTTCCACCTTTTCTGCTGCGGCCATGCTTCTCGGTTACGACCGTACACGCCACATCAACACCGCACAAAGGCCCAAAGTGAAGGACCACGCTGCGCGCAGTTGATCGGAGCAGCGCGCACATGCCCACGCTCCACCGAATAATGGAATGGAGTGAACAAAGCAATGCACACTCCGACGGGTTTGAGCTCGAAAGGTGTTCTGGCAAGTGCATTTCAGGTAGGTGTGTGTGTATTTCAGGTCTTGCATAAAAAGGTGATGCCGCAGACGCATGCATCTTGCGCCTCAGCGCGCTAGGTGTTCACCCGAGCGCCCGCACAGTCACATAGTACAACATGGTGCCTGTCGTGATATCGGCTTTATTCTCGTGTCGCGTTCCCTGAGACTTGGTGTGGCAAACAGAGGGTGGGTTGGTATTGTTGTTGTCTGCTGTAAAGGAAGCTGGCTGTCTGGTTCCTCTCTGTCACGAAAGTTCTGCCGCGGGAAATATTGTATTTGGCGATCTAGAGTACCAAATACAATCATGCGGGAATTGGCTCTTTATACGTCAGGACGACGGGATTCCCGCGTCAAAAAGTGGACCAACCCGCCATCGCTTTCAAACTCAAAAGGCGGGAATTCCCGCATATTTTTGGATTTTCACGAATAATACTTGTAGGCATGCGGGAAGCGGGAATCGGAGTTTGGAAGATGTCTTCAATACTTTCGTAAGGGGCACCGTGGATAGAAACATCTGCAGGAGGGTAAAAACTTATTTTTGTGAACGAGTACCCTATACGAATTCCTACATAAAACCAAAATCGAAATTTCCCTTCCGGGGGGGTGTCGTTTCGATTGAAGTTCCTTGGACAGGGCTGTCGAGGCGTAGGTCGCGCGAAGATACCGCCGCGATTTCGTGCTTGCAGCTTTCGCGAGCTGAGAGAAATCGGCCGCGGTAAGAAAACCGTAATCACAAAAGCGCGTACAAGACTTCGTATTTTAATAGGCAAGGGTACACACGATAAAATTCTGGACACATATCAAGTGGAGTCATCGCGAGATAGTTGACGCCAGACAAACTCGTTCATTTGCAAATCGGGCGCGAGTCGTTGCTGCCGCAGCACGCCGAGATCTTCTCAAACAAGCAACTCTCAAGCACAGGACCGGGAAGGGAGCCGTACCGAGAGGATGGAATCGGATTGCAGACCCAGATGCAGAAATTGACATACAGGCACAGTCGACGCTGCAGACGTGTGTGCGAAGGCCTCGGTAACTTCCGCAAGTAGTAGGCAGAAGCCTCAGCAAAAGCCTCAGCAAAAGCCTCAGCAAAAGCCTCGGCAAAAGCCGCGTGCCGACTGTTCGCGCAAGTCTTGCGTAGTTGGATTTGGAGAACACTCCGTTGTACGTAACCAATCACACACACACGTTCAAAGGAAAGCGGACATCGGATTGGAGGCAGTCCTGCGTGAGCAGGGCGATTTATCTACTACTGAAGTATTGTATTCAAAACAAACTTACTTCCGCACCGCCAGCGCCTGCTTGTTGAAGAGCTGGGCAAGCCCTCCTTCCTGTGGTATGTCGAATCTCCGGCCAATGTTTACGTAATTATGTGGGTATGGAGCTCTTCGTCTTGAGGCTGGTGTCCGTCTCAAACAAAGCTAGGAAGAAGCGGTCCACCTACTTTGAGTGCAAGACAGTGCCAAGCCTCTGTTTCTCTGAACCTTTTCAAACCTCAACACCTCCCTCTTTGATTCCTCCGAGAGAGGGCCGGTATCGAATCGCGACGGCTACTTAAGGACCCTGCGTACCGTTACACGCCTTGCGGACGCTGCGATCCCCCCCCGCAAGGTGTTGCTTGAATTGGCGCTACAGAACTCGTCGGCATTGGCTCTCTGCTTCCCAACTCCCCGATGGTGATTCCCCGCACAGGATTCTATGCCGGCTACGTGGCCAGCGCTTTCACGCTTGGACGTTTTCTGAGCGGATACTTGTGGGGATACGTTTCCGATTCTGTAGGGAGGAAGCCCGTGATTCTCGTTGGGCTATCGGCTACTGCAGTGCTGTCGCTGACGTTCGGCCTATCCACCACCTACGAGCTCGCCATTTTGTCCAGGTGAGTTGTGGCCACGGAGGGGATCTGGCAGAAGTTGCGGAAGGTACACAATGGCGGTGTACGACCTGTGTGCGCCGAAACGATGATCAAATTGTCAAGTAATGAGGTTGGAATTCGTACTTTGGCCCGGTGGCCCCGTGCCCGTTGCTTCTGAGCAGCCGGGTAGCCCAAATGCCTCGGAAAATGTGCGTCCGCGGCAGGTTGGAGAACGCCATAGGAAGATGTCGTCCTTGGAGGTTGTCTGCTTCTGGTTTCGTTCCCGTGCATTCAACAGCGATTAGATCTCTCGAAGCAGCCAACAACCTGCACTGGATTGGTCATTGAGTAGGAAGAATATCGCTTGTCGTGTTAAACCTCAGGAAAACTGCGATGTTCATCGTAGTTCATGTTCATCGCAGGTTGTCTACAAGCTACTGTAGTGCAGGATTCCCCATTGGGTAACACGCGCTGCTTGTATTGAGGCGATATCCAACCGTGCCGCAATTCAGCGCATATTGTACTCCAAGAAACGCTGTCATTTGCATGCGGTTGGCCCTCCCAGGTTCGTCCTCGGGATCATGAACGGCATCACGCCCGCGATCAGGACCACCGTGTACGAAGTGTGCGGGACCAATTCGCAAGTGGTGCAAGCGATGGCCTACATCGATGGTGAGGGGTGCCCAGAAAACCCTAAGCGAGGGGGCGCATCGATGCGCCCTCAACTTGTGGCTGATGTCAAAACGTAGTGGGGCAAGGATTCACGCTCCCCTCGGTTGACGTTTAGGGACCTCGCGGCCCTCGCAACAACTCTAGAGGGCGTTGACTTTGTACATATTGCGGAAAGGCCGCGGAAACTCTCTTCCTCAAGGTCTTGCACCCTTCGCATCAACCCCCCGCTGCTTCTTACATCAGGTGCCAGAGCTGCCACTATAGTCTTCGGCTCGGCTATGGGGGGACTCCTGGTGCAGCCGGTTGATCACTACCCGAACGTGTTTTCTGGCACAGGTCTGTTTGGGAGGTGAGTGCTTAACAAGCAACCGCGTCGCGTATGTACCGACACGCCCGAACTCATACCTATCTGTGGTGCATTGTCTAGGAGCGAACGTTCTGGAGGAAGAGGGGGTTGCTGTCGCCTGACTACGCTCTGTGTCCCGCTTGCTCAACCACTTCGTCACACTGTCCGAACCCAGTGTCTCGTCCGGGGTGTCAAGTGATGACAGCTTCCATAAGGGTCCTTTGTGGTAAACGACACGTTTTGGCACCCCAAACCGCTTGTGCGTAAGCCTTGAAAGCGTCAAGGGGCGAGGAATTCGACGCGACGTGGTAACTCATATAGTCGAGGGAAGCCCCAACGGTGCGTTACCCGACAGTAGCGAAACAAACGCGAGCTTATCGTACTGAACCGATGCTGGACAAGGTCACTGAATGCTCACTCAGCAAGCTGGATCTTGTTTTTTCACATTCTCTCCCATTCCGTGCTGTTTATCGGGATGTCAAGTTGAGGTTCCCTTGTCTTCACACGAAGCTCCGGCTACACTTGTCTTGTCGGTTGGGCGCCCCGCTCGCACATCCCATCCAGGTTTCCGTTCCTACTTCCGAACCTCGTCGGGATGAGCTTGGCGCTCCTAATCCTGCCGGTAGTGATTGTGTACGTTCCCGAAACTAAGCATTTCGAGGATGCCCGTTCAAGATCGAGATGTAGCAGGTGAAAATAAACGCCGACCTGTGCTTCAAAGGGCAGGTGGCTGTGCAATAGGATTTGCTCAGCCAGGGACGTGCGTGCCATTCATTCGATGCTGTTGTGGACACTCGGCGCCAGGTTTCTTGTGGTTGTCTCCTACTGAAGTGAGAGGCTTGGTTGGGGCATCGAGCGCTAGGCAGCCGTTTGGACAGGGCAAAGTCGCGAGAAAGCAGAGAACATCGCGCATGTTTAGGGTAACGTTTCAGGCGCGTGTACTACACGGGTGACGCATGACTCTCCAAAGGCATGAACGCTATTCACAATTCAACAACCCTGGTCCCGGCGCATTCCTTCCCTGCGCCGTGTGTACCATCCTTCAGCGAGAGTAGCGGCGAGGCGACGTCCGGCCTTTCCGCCGAAAGCTCACCCGCGCGGGATCGAGCGGTTGTCCGACGTCCCCCAAAAGGCGGGACGTTAGCCTACAGTTCGCTGGGGGACGAGGACGTCTTTGCGCAGCAAGCAGCACAGGAGCCCCATGGCGCGAATGACTCCAGAGGCCGAGCGAAGCACAAGAAAGGTGGCTTACGATACCCGTGAACCACCCGTCATCCGCAATCGAGAAGAGCAGAGGCTCTGCGGCCCTGGCGGCCTGCTGTCCGTGCCGAGGATTAAGCCCCTCTTGTTTCTCGTATGCGTTGTCCAGGTGAGACTCACGGGCTGGCGATTTGGTAGGGATTCGGATATGGTTCTCTCACATGTAAAATCGGCGAGACAACAGAGGAGAACATAATCGGCACGAATCCATCCCCAGCTGCAGGTCCCCAAACTTCCGTGGAATGAACGAACTGGTTTATCATTCATGCATTGTTCTGGCTGTTGGTCCTGCGTGAAAGTAACGTTATGATTCTTGGACGGGCTACGCTATTTGGGGATCGGAATTGAATCCGTCACCCAGAGCAGGTTTTCACCACGCGAGTATATCTACACGCTTGAGTTACACAAATCTGAATAGGAGAAAAGTTATTTCTCCGAAAGGCTCCGCCATGGCGAGTGTAGACTGCTTCGTGAAAGCCCCTGAGATGTCTCGGCGTCTGTACGCTCTTATATCGTGGCGACCGCCGAACCGAAACCGTGTTTGGCCCTGCACCAACGCGCACCTGTGGCATTCACTGAACTAACGGCCTGTCTACCAAACCTCCCCGTGCCGCCTTTGACCCAACCAACCGAGATGCGATAGAGCCTCTTAACGGGCTTTGAAGAGGTGTTTCCTCTTTGGGCGCTCTCCACGGTGGGTGTCGGGGGGCTGGGCTGGGGCACCATGGAGATCGGCAAGGTGTGGAGGCGACGTAATGATGTGTTTGTGTCTCGAAAAAAGGATAATCGACGAGGTTGACGGCCTCCAGTGCAGCAGTCATAGCTCCGGTATATGAGGGCGCCTTATGAGACGGGGCTCCGATGTGAGAGGGTCGAGGGCCTTTGTCACACCACCCTCTAAATCGGAGCCATGACTGTGTATTGTATTTCCCGCTTGCTGAACCTCGATTCCGACTTGGATGCTCCTAGGGTTTCCGTGTTCACCACGTTATTTTTCACTTTTCACCATCATGTCAGGTAATCAAAGAAATGCGCGATCGTTACATGCGCTTCCGTCCGAACAGGTTCTGTTCATGACGGGCTGCATTATGGTCGTGGCTCAGCTGTTCATATTTCCGTCGGTGATCAAGATTATTGGAGCGGTGGCGTGGATGCGCACAGGCTGTCTACTAGGTATCTCCGCTTTCCTTGCTACCCCAAACGCCAAGCTCTTCAGCTGGAACTACACTACCCTGTTCGCAGCGTCGGTTGCGAGTGTGACTGTCGTCAACTGTTGCTTGGCAGCGGTGAGAGAACACATGGAAATGGGCCATTCAAACCCTACGAAAGTTCCTCCCGCACCATTGAAAGCCTCTTCCTTGCTGCATGCATACGTACGTCACGCGACGAATCGAACAACGAGATGCTACGTCTTGGTGGGTATGATGTTGCCCGCCATAATATTGTTGGGCGCGCTCTCTCCTATTCCGCTGGGGCATTTTCCATTCCGTGTTTGCCTTGGCTCACTACCTTACGGAACACTCATTATGTTTCCCTCGCCTGACCTCTCGAACAAAGGTGAGCATCGCGTTGGCAGTGGCGTCGACTAGCATCGTACCCTCCAGCTTGCGGGGTAAGCTCAGCGGGCTGTACGGCACAGCTGAGAGCTTCGGTCGGTTCACGAGTGCCGTTGGCTTCGCGGCCTTGTTCGCGTGGTCAATTTCTTCCGACAACCTTGGTTGGGTCGACCACCGGTTTGTTTTCTACTCGTCCGCTCTTGCCCTGGGTGTGGCGACGGTGGTGGCATGGCGCACTCTTCCTGCAGAGGTGTTTGGGGATAAATCCGCCGCTGAAAACGTGGAGGATGCGATCCATGATGCTGGCCTTACGCCTAAAAGTGATCCGAAATGTATTGTTTCCTGCTCTCGACCAACGGGTGAGATGGACTTGATATAAGATACGTATTGCAGCAGCCAGCGCGGCTTTGAAATAATTGGGTTTTTGATTGTGGCTGAATCATGACCCGATCATGACCATGTACTCGGTCATCATCGGGCCATGACACAGTCATCGAAGTGGAGTCATGATCTCGATCATGATCGAAGTCATGCCTCGGTCATGTTTCGATCACGACGACGTAGGTCATGACTAAGCCGTGACCGAGTCATGGCCAGTTCATGACCCGGTCATGACTAATGCAATTCTGGTGCTCGTTAACAACAGGTTATTTGCTTTGGCAGGGGCATGAAACCGGCTAAAAACCCTTGCGCTAACCCCAACTCTACCCCCAAACCCACACAATAGGTGGTGGGTTGACGCTGGGTGGATAAGCTCTAGGTGGGGGTGCCGCCATAGGTGCTACTGCAGCCTGGCGTTGATTCAATAAATCTAGACAGACCATCGGGTCATGGTTGGGGCACGATGGGGTGACGATAAGATCATGTATCGGTCATGGTGCATTCATCGTGACCCAGTCATGACACGATCACGACTCGGTAAAGTGCTAGATCACGACCGGGTAAGGATCCAGCAGTCAGGCCGAAAATTCCTGCGAAAATAAGGAACAACAAACGACGTCATGACCTGGTCATGATCGAAAGCATTACGGTGATCGGGTCATGACTGCATGACTGTGACCCGATCATGATCACGATCAACGAGCTCACCAAAAAATGTCACTCATTGAGAACGTAAAGGTTTCTGTTGCGCTTTGCATCTTGGGCGTTTGGCTGCAATGGGCAGAACCAAACAAGCTATTCTTCTACCTTGATTGGGGTTTGTCCCTCTCCCTCGGAGAATCATCCAAGGTCGAAAGAGGGCGGGGAACCAGACATACTGCTTCTTCTTGGACGTGCAAAAGGATACGATACAGTATGGAGAAATGGGCTGTGGAAACAATTGTCCAAGCATGGGACAATAGGGAAAATATGGGGAGTGCCGAAGAAGACGACAAAGTGTACGAAAAGATCTGCCATGCTAGAAGGAGGACTGTCTAAAGTTCTCAACATTTAACTGGGGGTTTCACAAGGCACTTTGTCCCCAACATTGTGCCAGGTGTTCATCAACGATCTGTTGAAAGTCGTAAAGGCAGTTGGGAAGGGAGTAGTGTAGGGGAACTTCGGCGGCGGGAATGCTGTTTGCGGATGATTGTGGGATGTCTGATACATCTGAGGGGCTTCAACTACGCATTGGCACAGTGCAGGATTTTGCTGCTAAGTGGAGATTGTCTGCCAAAGTTAAGCAGAGTGCCGTCGTCATGGTATGCAACGAGGACAGAGAGAAACCACAAGCGTATAAACAGGTGGAAGTGGGGGTTTGAGGAGCTTGCTGTAGTCGATCAGTACACATATCTCGGAGAAGAGATCGACAAGGCTGTGCGTGGAATGCACACGTACATGTCCAAGGTAGCGGCAAAGGGCAAAGCACGAGCAGGGAGGCTGCACCCAATACTCGCGAATCGGCATCTCGATACACGCATCAAATTGACAGTTTTGAAGAGCGTAATCGTACCGTCGCGAGAGTTCGCCGGAGAATCATGGAAAGAAATATGAAGGTAGTCAAAAGGGCTCAGGCGGCGCAGATTGAAAGCAGCGAAAATCATCCTAGGATGCTCGAAGCGCACAACAAGTAATGCAGCCGTCAGGGCGGAACTAGGGATCCAATCCCTACGATCGGGAAGAGACGCACGGGAGTTAAAATGGCAGTACCACATGCACGATATGGGAAAGGTTGCCGAGAACAGCTTCAGAGGCAAAGTGAGCAAACAAAAAGAGGGGTAGACAACCTACGAAGTGGGTTAAGGTGCAGAAAATGTATTGAAGGAGTTCGAAACTGACGAAGGTGCTACACTGGAAACGGAAGGTCTAGAGGGGTTCAAGGAGCAGATATATGTTGCTTTTGCCGAGAGAGAAGAACATAATCTAACCAAAGAACCAAGAATAAGGAAGGTCTAGATGTGTACGGAATGTAGAAAGAAGGACTAGGCTTGAAAGACTACTCACGTGGGAAATGGATGCAGGGACAAGCTGCAGGCCAATTTTAGGACGGGGGATATTGGCTTCGAGAACGTAAACGAAGAAATTGGTAGAAGGTGGACGATGAAGACGACAAGTTCAAATGTGCATGCGGCTCCGAGTGTGAAGGCCGTGTTCATGTAGTTGCGGGAGGTCCGTTGTACAAGGAGAGGGACGTATACATTGTTTAGCTGGGAAAAGTAGAAGCAAGATTCAGCGAGATGTTTGAGGCATGTAACAGCCAAGAGAAGACGGTAGCTCTACTGGGGCACAGGAAGTGGGTTGAAAAGGAGGGGAAGTGATATCGATAGGATGGATAGGCTAGGGAAAACATTTTTGAGCCATTTTTGGCAAAGTAGGAAGGAACGATTGGCCATCGGTGATCGGCCCTGTGGTAATAACAATGCTCCGTCCTCTCGAGGACGCGTGGTCAATGGTCTAGCCACTAAGGCATGCATAACATAAGAGCCCCCCCCCCCCCCCCCCTCGAGAAACCCTTTTGCTTGCGTGGCGGAAATGGACAGCAAGTGTAGACCAATGTAGGTCTACAAAACGAAGACAATGCAGGACTGCTCAATTGTAGACACAGGGCAGAGGTTCCTCTTTAGAACTCACCCTGGGCCCGCGGGTGCGCCTCACGGAAATCCGCCTGACGGGCATCTCTTCAATCAACGTCGGATCATGAGGCAAATAACCAAGAGTGACAAAAGACACGGGCGGATTGATCCCTGCAATATCAGCTACCACAGCTAGCTACCTGGCCGTGCCGTATTTTTTGCGCATTTGATGCAAGATTGGAATATTCCGACTGCCTCGGCAAACAAACATCTTGATTAGCGCTGGAGGTTGATCCCGAGCCTGTTTGATACTGTTCATGGATACTACTGTGCACAGACATGGACACGCAAGTGCCGTTTTGGCGGGCTGTTAATAGCGTCGCCCCCCTATCGTAGGACGAGTTCACGGTTTCCGACGGCACGACGATATTTACCCCTCACCCTGTCCATGGTGATTTTCATGGTTTCCAAACCCCCATGCCGCTATTGTAAGCCAGTCAAGCTGCATCCATAATCAGCAACGTGACAAGATGTGCTTTTCTCCGACGATGGCAATGCCGTCGGCTCGAACGCACCCCATCGATGACGTTTTCGACAAAGCGTCATGTGGGCTAACGAACAACGCGTCTCACACTCACCGTTCCTAAAAATACATGATCTATCAAGTTATCATCAAATGAACACAGGCAGCCGCCCACAAAACGAAGCCTTCGTCATGGAACGGGTCTTCCCCCCTCCCGACTCCCCATGGCTTCTTGCGGATGCGATGAAACTCTACTGTAGCTACAAATGATCCGCAGAGCACATGACCCTGCTGTGTGAAGTACAGAGGTATTTCTTGGTATTCGTACTCCCCTTTGACCATGTACGTTTCAACAAACGGACAATACATACGGTACTCCGGAGTACATTCATATGCATACACTCTCTCCTTTACCCCCCTGCGCCCGCGCGGTGTATGTAGTACAACAGATCCCCCCCAAGTGTGTGTGAAAAACGTTGTCTTGAGACGATGCTCAGGAAACAAGATATGCACAGAAGAAGGGACCGAGCTGGCAAACTAACCTCTCATATATATCCCAACAACATCACCCCCCGATGTCCCCTTCCGGCACAAACGGTTCTCTTCCAAGCCATCCATGAAAGGGGAAAAAACAAACATGGGCTCCTTCGCGGGAGGGCGCGAGTACATTGAGAAAAGAGACCGCGCGACTGAAGTGGGGCCGGGAGGCCGGGATCGCATGATGATTGAGCGTGGCGGCGGTAGGACAGCACGGAGGGAGCGGCACGGCGGTGTGTACGCATTGGCAGCAGCGACTACCTACGCCTCCACGCTGGCCGACCCACTTTGAGCTCTTCTGCGTCGCCCTTGCCCTTGCTCCACGCACTGACGTCGCCACAGAAGTCGTTCTGGTCGATGGTTTCGGGGGTGGTGTAGTACGTGGCTGCATGGAGTGGGCAGGCAAACGCTGCATGCGCGGTAGATAGGTAGAGGACCGAGCTGTGAGGAGAAATGATTGCACGTACGAAGAGAACCAGAACACATGGATGCAGCTGAGGCCCCTTCGGAGGAGTGGCAGTGTTCAGAATGATATTCTTTGGTAGGAAGAACCGGAGGGAGGGTCGTGGAATGAGTCTCACGAGGTATCGCCCATGGATGTGCTTGTGTTTTAAACGCAGTCGTGTGTGTTGTACCGTCATGCGGAGGCCAAACGGAAGAATCGTTCGTACAGCGACGTGGATTATGATGTCGTATCGCAGACAGGCGGGGGGGGCAGGAGAAGCATGTGTGCGGCGCTCGTAGTGATGGACTCTATTCGTAAGGTTCCTTGTACGAGCAGCACAAGCAACGACTTAGCTGGACACTTGCGTGGCTTTCGGCCAATGACCATAGCATCATTCGGGAGAGAGAGACAGAGCTGACTTACGACAATCGAGAAGGCTGTGCAACTGAATGCTGACAGTGCGCCGACTAGTTCGAGTAACGAACAAACAAGCAAGAGCGGCGACAACGAAATCAATGCAGATGAAACCTGTGTGGTTTCCGGGTCTAAACCATTTTCAAGTAGAACGCCTGCCTTTCGACACGCAACACCAACTGAGAGACAGCTTGGTCGCTTACCGTCAAGATTCATGGGGAACAGGCCGAGTCCGACTACATAGGCGACGGCCTGAGCGGCGAAGCCGGCGAGGGCGTTGACGTTGTTGGTGGAAGTCGAACTCATCGCCACTTTGGACAGCACGAAAAACGGAGGACGGGGATCGTAACGGTCGCCATGAATCAAACAGTAGACCTTTTCGTGTTGGCCAAAAAACACTGCTGCGGAGTTTCAAAGAGTTGAAAGCGCGGGGTCCAAGCAAGATTCCTCGTCAACATGGTCAGGGG